TCCTTATTGCCAAACTGACATTAGATGAGCCGCTTGATCTCTCCCAGGCTCAGCTTCCTCATCTGAAAAATGGAATCAACACAATTCATTGTTCAAGTGTAGGACTGAAATATTCTTTGAAAATCAATTTAAGGTTAATTCCCGCAGAATCTTCTGCCAGAATCAAAGAGACACCGACCCCAATTTCTTCTGGAGCCTGAGTAGTGCCTGACTGCTGAAAAAAAGTACTTGTGAACCACAGAGGCCTGACAGGTGGGAGTTGTCATGTCCTACTCAGGCACTACATAAGTTCCCTCTGTTCTGGCCCTCTAGGGAATTCACAATGCAGCTAAGTCCATCCACCGTCAGCCACAGTGAGTAGAAGATGGCCCCCAGAGGCCCAGTGGTCTCCTGTCCTCACTGCCAACCTGATGTGCATGCTGCTCACAGTTTCCGCCACGCCAGACCCCACCCAAAAGAGCATGTTGGAAAGCAAGATCTTGATAGTGATTTTTTTTTTTTTACTTTTTAAAATTTTTAATAACTACATGATTAGAAGCTTTTCACTACAGCTTTAACATATTCAGTAACACACTCCAAAGCAACAGTACATCTCTTTCACAAGTGGGTGCAAGTTTCTAGGTTCACAGTTGAATTAATATAGTTATATATTATTGAACTCAGTATGAGCCCTGTAAGACATAAAATTGGATGAGTTTTTAACCTTTAAAAAAGATCTCCATTTCATTTTAGAATAGATTGTTAGTGATATTTTTATCTGGAGACCATTCTTTCTGATTTTTTTCTACTTTCAAGTGCATTATCCTCCCAGGGAAGAACTTTATTAGTAATAACAAACTTTGTATCAACAAGGCCCAGTGTATCATGCACTGGTAAAGAGAACTGAAGTTTAAATATCCTTCTTCCTGGAACTCCACTCCAGGTCTTTCTTCTATACATTTCTTTCTTTTAATTAGTGGTATTTAAAATTTTTCTATTTGATATAGTTCTAAGTATAAAATAATTAAATCTGTTGCCTGAAATTGACCATGTGTCTATTAAGGAGTGCCAGTTTGTGTGTGTGATGTATGTGTGTGTCATGCATGCACATGGGTATGTAGTCTCATGCACCCTGTGCACCAGTGTATAAACAAGCATGTGGAAGCCAGAGCACTAGATTGGGTGTTTTCCTCAACCACTCTCTGCCCTGTAGCCTTGAGACAGGGTCTGTCACTGAACTGAACTGAACAGAAAGCTTAAGGTTTTGGCTAGGCTGGCTGGCTGGCCAGTGGGCCCTCAGGATCTATCTGCCTGTCTCTGTCCCTCAATTCTGGGGTTATTGGTATACATAGCTATGCCCTGAGTTTTATATGGGTGCTGGGAATTCAAACTCAAGTCCCTATTTAACTGGAGCTCAGGGCCCTTCTGACCACAAGGCCTGGTGTGGCTCTTAGGTCATATGCTCAAGAAGCTGGCCGTACCCTTGCAGCTTCCACTCCTGCCACACTGGACCCTGTAGTGTTGGACTCATTGTGTTCCTTCTGCTGAAGGTCCCTAAGGCATGTTGTTCCTTCTGCCTGAAACAAGGTTTCCTTCCAGTGGCCTGGGTGTCGCCTCTTTCTGCTCCTGCCATCTCAGCACAGCCTTCCGATCCTTAGGCAAGCCTGCCCTGCACAGTCTTCCTGATCAGAACTCTCCTGGCACTATGCAGCTCTTTCTCCCTGTATGTGTCATGCTCACTGCTCCTCAGCTAGGGTTGTAGCCATCCCACTCACTGCTTATTCCCCTGGGCTGTAAGCACTAGTGTGTGGCCATGATTAGGGCTGGTTTTGTTTATGGCGGGGAATGTGAATGCTAACTTATGTTCAAAAGGGACCAAATCCTGTTTCAGTCTGAGCTAGTGAAATGGAATGATCCTCACACTTACCTTGTTTGTAGTTAGTTCTTTCTAGTAGCTAAGGACTGCTGGATAACATGTGATCCTATGTTTTATGATACACAAGTCATCTGCCTTTGTGTTTCTATCTAGTGTGCTGACTAGATGCTTTGAGCCTGAGGTGAGGCGGAGAACATAGTGGGACCCTTTAATAGAGCAAAGCTGCCCACCTCAGGCAGCCAGGTACAGTGACAGGGAGAGGGTGAAGCAGGGATAAGTTATACCCTTTACAGGTTGGGTTCTTTTAGCTAGATCCCACCTTTCAATAGCCCACTCACTTATGAATTCATCTAGGGATTGGTAATCCATTCATGAGGTTAGCACCCTCACGAGTCAACCACCTTGCAAGGCCCCATGTCCAAACATTGTGGTATATAGGACCAGGCCTTCAAAGCATGAGTCTTTGGGAGTTGCTTCATAGTAGTTGGGTCTCAAAAACGCTAGTTCCACTGAACTGCATTGAGCTAAGTGAGATGAAAACATGTGACCCTGACATTTACTTATCCTGTCTCCCCTTGGGTTTCTTTTGTCCTTCCCCTCCCATCTCCTTTTTTCTTCTTAAGGATTACTGAGTCTTGAAAACTACTTTGGTTGTGATCAGATGCTTCCAGCAGAAAATTACCCTCATCTATTTTAGGTTTAACTTGACTCTTCAGAGTGAAATGGTCTGATTAGCCCTGCAATCATGGTGGTGGTTAGGCACCCAGAGAATGCCTCAGAACAGGTTTGACTGCACTGGTAACATTCTCATAGAAGTGTTGATGTTGAGATAATCACAAGGCAGGCGCTTTAGAGATTCATCTACTCAACCCTAAGTGACTCAAAGCAGAAATTCAACTCAAGAATCACATGAAACCTATTCTTTTGCCCGGAAGGATAGAGAGCTGCCTCATCAGAATGGGCAGTGCTGAGATGCCCAGCGAGCCTTGGGCAACGACAGCCAATGGGAACCTGTGCTCCCCTTACAATGTGTTCCACAGCTTGTCTGTTTTCTTCATTATTGTACATCTGTATTTGAGAAATAGCCAGGAAGGGAGGTACTGAAAATAGAATGTTCATAATGAAACTGAAGGTTGAAGAAATAATAAGGAAAGCAAAAGCCTACAGGTGAGGCTGGTATTGATTGAACATCTTAGAAAACATTGCTAGTAAGAGATCAGGGCATTCCCTTCCTATATGCAAAATGAGGGGACTTCTCTCCTGAACCACACTTGGGACATATCAATATGAATCATTCCCAGAGGCACTCTTGGGGGCCTTGATGTTGTTCTTCAGAGATGGAATGGTGGAATGGAACATACATGGGTTTACACACGAGCCATTCCTGGGATTGCTATCCACCTTTACCCTGTGATCTTCTTCCTCTCTTCCTCCCCCTTTACCTTCTCCTTCTCATTTTTCTAATTTGTATAAGTTTGAGCCAAACAGGCCCATAATCTTAGTACTTAGGAGGATGATATAGGAGGATCACCAGGTCAAGGTCAGCCTGAGCTACATAGTGAGTTCCAAGCCAGCCTAGGCTAAATGGCAGGACCCTGTCTCAACACCAAAAGAATCATAATGACTTGTATAAGCTTGTATCAAACAGTTACCTTACAGGTCAAATGAGTTTCCCTAGATAGAGGTACAAAGGTCATTGACCAAAGCAGGCCTATAATCATTGCCCTTTGCCTCATATTATTAGCTCTTATAAACAGTTTGGCAGGACCATGTGCTAGGGTGTGGCAAGCAGGTGCCTGGGTTACCCTGAGAGCAAGTTCTTCTAGGTACATCCCATACATTTCACTTGCCTCTCCCTGGTCCAGGCAGTGTAGCTGAAGCAATGTCAGACCAAGGGTGAGGCATCTCAACGTAGACATCCTTCTCCACAACACCATTTCCTGGAGCATCTTAATGATGGCATAGGGGAGTACTATCCCAGAGATGCACAATCACTTGACTTAAACCTATTACTTTGTATATAGCACACCTGGAATTTGAATCTAGGCCTCTTGGCTCCAAGCCCCAGTAGACTGCAGCTGGACTCTCCTGCCCATCTCACAGTGCTTGCACGCCCCCACCCCCATACGATGAATGACCTATGAAGAAGTGTGCATCATTCTTTCAAGTCTGTAAACTCTCTCAATACCATAGGAGAACATGTCTCAAATTGTCAGCACATTTCAAAGCATTTAGGACAAAACTTGCTTGGAGTCAAAGTTCAAGCAATAAATATCCACAGATAGAGGAAAAAAGAGATTCTCATGGCCTTATCATTTTAATGCAGAGAAAGAGTTATAATAAATATTAACCCAGCTGAAGAGGCGAAATGCATTAATTTCACAACATGTTCAGTTCTTTAAGAAGTTTTAGCTGTTCAGGCTCCATGGGGAATATCGAACTCACAGAGACTCCCACTGTTTCAAGAGAGAAAATTGCCATTCAGAGTGGTTCCCTGCCCCTTTGGGAAGGGAGAGGCTGGCTAGAGAGACATAATGGAGGCTGTGGGAGGGGAGGGAATTTGGGTACAGCAATGTATGATGTTAAACCAGGGTAAAGGAGACAAAACAAGGCTGTTCACATTTCAGTGAGAAGCATCCAGTTTCTGGCTCAGGTCTGACAAGGCCCAGGACTCTGCATTTTTAGAAAACTGATCATGCTGCCATTGCTGGTCCGTGCAACATATTTTCAAGCTTGAGAATGTTGTCACCGGACAATAAACTGTTCAAAGCTTTGGCCTTTGATTCCTTCCCTCAATAGTCATTTGTCTTTTGACTCTTAGAAAGTTTCTTAACCCCAGTCTGGGCAGAGAGCCACGAAGACTGAGAAACTGGAAAAAAAAAATCACTCCCCAGCACCAAGACTCACCTTTCTTTTCTACCAGGGCGGACCTGCAGGGTGACATTTCCATGCATAAAACACTTCCATTTTATCCCCCGTTAAATGAGCGTGCAGATTGGGTCTCTAGAGGCCAACAAGTCTGGTTGAGGAGTCTGATTCTGTGTAAGGAACTATGAAGGGGTTTTGGGTTCCTGAGTCTGGCCCAGTAGTTGCACCGTCTTCAGTCTGGTGGTTCTCAGCATTGATCCTCACTCTTCTTCGGCAGGGGAAATCTGTGCATTCAAGATCCATGGCCAGGAGCTGCCCTTTGAGGCTGTGGTGCTCAATAAGACATCTGGGGAGGGCCGGCTTCGAGCCAAGAGTCCCATCGACTGTGAGCTACAGAAGGAGTACACATTCATCATCCAGGCATACGACTGTGGTGTGGGGCCCCAGGAGGCAGCCTGGAAGAAGTCACACAAGTGAGTGGCTCCCTGACTCCCCTCTGCCCTGGGCCACCTATCTCCATTCACTCCACCTACAGACTGTTCTTTAAATATGTTTACATGTGTCACACAGGGGCCCCAACCCCAATCAGTGGCTCCTCAGATCCCCAATTACCATAAACATTTGCATAGGCTAAATTCTACCCCAGGAATATTGTACCTGCTCTTCTTCCCTGGAAGAAACTCCTAGGCTACCTTCAGAACTGAGTTCAGATATGACTTCTTCTAGGGAGTGTTCTCTAAATTCATCCACCCCCCCCCCCCCTGCAGATCCAGTTCGAACTTTCCTCTGCGTTCTGCAAGGCCTTGTGTTTCCCTGTCATGGTACTTCTCACCGGGAACCACCTCTGTTCTCTCTCTCATGGAGTTTGGCTCAGAGCATAACACAAATAAGAAAGCATCTTACAGAGTAAAAGATGAATAGATGAAAGGATATGGAAAAGGGAGAAAATGGAGAGGGACCATGTAGCCTGAGGTGGGAAGCAGGGAACGACAAAAATGGGGAGGATTCTCTAGGGCAGATTCTTTCAATATCAAGGAAAGTGTGGGTAAATGGGTCCCAGGGTAGGTAGATGTGTCCCAGTGGGAGGGAAGACAGTACTCAGGCAACAAGCCTGCCCTGATAGGCTTGAGGTCTCTTTACACATTCAGCCTAGGATTGAATCAACACTCCACAACCCATGGGAGGACGGTGTGATTCCCTCTTTACCAACATTTCTGTTTTCTGGTATGTGCTGCAGGGCTGTGGTCCACATCCAGGTGAAGGATGTTAATGAGTTTGCTCCTACCTTCAAAGAGCCAGCCTACAAGGCCATTGTCACAGAGGGCAAGATCTATGACAGCATCCTGCAGGTGGAAGCCATCGATGAGGACTGCTCCCCCCAGTACAGCCAGATTTGCAATTACGAAGTCGTCACAACGGATGTGCCTTTTGCTATCGACAGAAATGGTGGGTGTCCTGAAAAGATCCACGTGGGGGAGGCAAGCAGATTCTCCACGTGGGGGTGGCAAGCAGATTCTCCACGTGGGGTGAGGCAAGCAGATTCTCCACGTGGGGCGAGGCAAGCAGATTCTCCACGTGGGGGAGGCAAGCAGATTCTCCACGTGGGGGAGGCAAGCAGATTCTCCACGTGGGGGAGGCAAGCAGATTCACCGCCCCAGCTGTGAAGACCTAGTGGGGACCCCGACTGTACTCGGCAGTAGTGCCTCCCTTCAGATCCTTGATCTAGGTTCCACGTTGACCCATGTCTGCACTTGAGGCAATGGCCCTTATATGATTAGAACCTTGGCCTAAACTACTTCCAGGAAACCTCAGGAATCTCAGAGAATGAAATCTGCAGTCTCACAGTTTCACACACCTGGATACTAAAGAAAGATGGTTTCCTGGTAGAAAATTCAGTTATTATCCAGGTATGAGCAACACCATCAGCTTAGCCATATCTTGGTCATTTTTCTATATGATCAGTTGTAGCGTAATCTCCTCATCAGCATTACAACATCCTGCTTCCTGGTTCCAGGCCAAGACATGCTAAGAAATAACTGGGAATTTTAAACCATCTTCCAAATCATAGCTTTATTAAGGAATCTTTAAAACTCTTGCCAACTCCCCCTTTGAGAATTTCAACTCTAATATAACCTTCTACCCAATCTGAACTGAACTGAAAATGGTCCTATAAAACCATTTGAATATTTCCCATCACCATTTACATGAATCTTATTATAGTGTACACACAGTGAGAGTCCAATCAGTTCAGTCCACTTTGACTATAACTTGATTATAATGAAATGGTACTCTCTGCCAAGTGTGTTGTTAATTATTAGTGTGAGTTGTGTGGGTGTCCATATATTACCCCTATTTTGTTTCAAATAACATTTAAATAGCACACAAAGATGGAAAAGTTGCAAGCTCTGAAGTACTGTGACTAGGCTTGGTGCTGGACTTGGAACGGAGATAGAAGGGAACACAAGCCAGACTCAGGCCTGCCTGCATGGAGTGTATCAGACAGTACAGTAAAAAATTCAAAGGGCATGAAGAATGAGAGTCATGTGCAAAACATTCTGGGAACAAAAGTTTGGTAGCAAGTTAGATATGAGGCTCTTCTTCATAGCCACAATGTCTGTCGGGGGCAGGGCTAGGACTCAGGCACTTGCTATTTGCTCCTGAGTCTTTAGGAAGGGATCATGATGTTAAAACCATAGAGATGTTTGCTCTGGGACATAATCTTCTGCATCTTATGAACAAGAGAGATTCCACAGGACGGAAACCAAGCAAACACCTTCACCCTCACCTTCAAGTAGCTTCTCAGTTGGTTTGCCCAAATATTTGTTATGACAGAACAAATAGTAATGATCCAGTTTCCTTATAAAAAGGCTAGAAGATATGCAAAAAACAAATGTACATGTAGACATTAATAAATGCTAATTGTACATGGCAGGAAGTCAGTGCACAGGAAAGAACAGCTCGGAATACTGAATTGCAGTGAAAGTTCAGGACTAAAGTGAAAGTGAGTTCTATTAGTAGATCCTTTCAGAACGACTCCCTCATAACTTCTTCTGTAAGCCCTAAAAAAGCTGGCTTGCACCCACCACACAAAACAACAGCAGCAACAAAACCTGCCATGTTTTCCTCCTCTAGGTTTCTATTCCCCTGATCAGTTGTTCAGTCTGTTCCCACACAAACCTTGGAATTTAGGCTATGACAAGTACATGGTAAATAACAAGACTAGATGCGTGGCGACATCTGTGATCAGTGGCCAAGCTCCACTTGGTCTCCTGTCCTTGCTCTTGGGATCGAGAGCCTAGGGATAAATGAGATGCAAATTCTTTCATCTAAGGGTAAACTGCCCCAGTCATGAAGATAATTACTCACCTTGATGAGCCATTTCACTAGCATATGTCAATTTATTTCCCTGGCTGTCTCATTAAATGTGAGTAATGGTCTTTTGCCAGGCCTCTGCCTCCAACTTTAGTTTACAACGTAAGGTGGAGAGGAGAGTGGGCACTCCCAGGGAGGGTGGGCCCCCAACAGGGAGGTTTACAAAAGCGGTTCCCCCAGCAATGAAGGCAGGACCTGGGGCAGATGTAGAAGCAGCTCACATTCTAATGAGTTTCCCAGTGGGTCCTTATCCATCACTTCTCTGACGACCTCCTCAGCTCCTTGAAGAAGTTCCTTGCATACATATACATCATGGAAAGTGCTGCTGAATTTCAGGTCCCTCCTCAATAACAAGGTTCTCCAAGGTCTTCATCCCACAGCTTAGGTAGATACTCCTGGTTCTCCCAATTTGTCACGTTCTTTACTTGGGGAAAGAAAAAGAGCAGCAGGAAGGATGGAAAACCTTGGATGTAGAGCGGCCCTGACTTGCCTGTAAATACAGCCTCGACCTCCTTCATGTGAAGCATCTCGACTCCTCCACTGTGAAGTGTGGCACTATCAGTTCCTAACCCATTGTGAGGTTTCAAGGCTCCAAGGAGAGGCAGTGGTTGGGGAGGTTTTCAAAGTACTCACCATGGAAAGAGTGCTCAGTAATGTCATGATCATTACATATTTTCCCATGTGTTTGAGATATGAGGTTTGGTCATGAGCCATAGAATCTGGGATGAAATGATGAATATATAACTGTGAAGTGAAATTTTTACCACCATCTTGGATATTTATGGATCCATTCCATAAATGGGGCTGTACAGGCCCCATCTTCTGGCACTTGGCCAGTCTCTCTGAGATAAGTAGAGCCTGAATCCCTACTTCCATTAGCCAAATAAAGAAATTGAACCCTAAAACATGAAGAATTGCTTAAAACATGTCACACTGTAGCCAGAGTTGGCCCTAGGCATTCCCACTAAATCACTCTCAATGATTTTTAGAAGAAATGAATGGCAGCAGTATTTAAGAACATAAACAGTGTAGGGTGATATCAGCAAGAAGAAAGAGGAGATGCCAGGCTTTGTTTCCTCAATAAGAACAAGTATAAAGCTTTCCATAAGTGAAAACAGTCTAAGACAACTTGGAAGTCCAATGAAGAAATTACAACAATACAATGAAGGAAAAATGGAGAATACGTACTCAAAAATTGGATAGAAATAACAGTTTACCTGCACCATCCTGTCCCCCAGGCTGGCAATGCTTAGCATAAAGAGGGAATTCCCTAGTTCACAAATTCCTCTCACAGAAAAAAGTAGAGTCTCATGAACAACTCAACTCAATCCCCCAGCCTTTCAGAGCATTTCCCAAATGAATCTCTTCAGCTTCATCCCACCCAGATCACGGAGTAAACCAGCACAATGAATTTGTCAGGTAACAGCTGAGAACAAGTTAGATGGGCAAGGGTTCTCCATTTCAGCCGCGTGGAGACACCACCATGATCTCCAGGGGCCTCTCTGCAGAGGACTCCAGCAGCCTTTGCTAGGTACCTCTCCAGCCCTCTTTGTCACTGTACAACCCCTCAGGTTTCATTGCCAAGGACCCTCTTGTGTTTGCGGTGGTAGAGCATCACACCATTTGAGGAACCGAGGAACCGGCAATAGCACAGTAGAAAGACACTCTCTCCACTTTCACCACTAATGAACACACAGCTTTTCACTTTTGAGTTTCTAAGTATTTGAGCCTCTACCCCTCTTCTTCCTCTCTCCAAGAGCCACCCTAATGTCCTCCTCCAGGGGTACCCAACTAGGGACCAATGCAGCCAATGGGTCATAAACAAATGATCTGTCTACTCAACACAGGCATAGACCTCACCATGACCTATGCAGCTGTAGACAATATGTTAACCACGTGCCCATGGATAGTTAGCCTAAGTCTCATAGTCAACAATGTACCTGCCTGCAGTTAGCTCATGCAGCCATGTGTGTGCCCACCAGCCCTGACTCCCATCATCAGAGGTTTAACATCCAGAATATACAACGAACTCAAAAAACAGAGAATCAAGACAGGAAGTAACCCAATTAAAAGATGGGCTAAGGAGCCGGGTGTGATGGCGCATGCCTGTAGTTCTAGCACTTGGGAGGCAGAGGCAGGCGGATCTCTGTGAGTTCAAGTTCAGCCTGGTCTACATAGTGAGTTCCATGACAGCTGGGGCTACAGGGAGACCCTGCTTCAAAAAAACGAAAAAAAAAAAAAAAAGGGCTAAGGAGCTGAACAGAGAGATCTCAAAAGAAGTAAAGATGGCTAAGAAGCATCTTAAAGGATGTTCATCATCACTAGTAATTAGGGAAATGCAAATTAAAACCACTTTAAGATTTCATCTTACCCCAGTCAGATTGGCTAAGATCAAGAGAACAAATGATACCAAATGTTGGAGAGGATGTAGGGAAAGGGGAACACTCATCCACTGCTGGTGGGGATGCAAACTTGTTCAACCCCTATGGAAAGCAGTGTGGAGAACTCTTAAAAAAAATAACTACAAATAGTAGAGGTGATAAACATTACCAGTGAAATCTACCTGATAACTTTCTATCCATACTCAGGAAAAATCTGAGTGTAACCGACTGTGACTAGTAATAATCAGATACATAGAGATTAGAGACGCATGTGCAAACATCTAAGTGTTAGTAGCATTAAAAATGTAGGAAACAGTATATTTTAAAAATGAAATAGATTTTTGAAAGGTTAAAACCTCACTCAATTTTATGTCTTACAGGGTTTATACTGAGCTCAATATTGTATAACTGTATTAATTCAACTGCGAACCTAATATTTTTATAGCCACTTTTGAAAGAAATGTATCTTTGTTCTGGAAATTGTTGCTGAATATGTTAAAGCTGTAATGAAATACTTCTTCTAATCATGTGGTTAAAAAATAAAATAAAATAAATTTCAAAGCATTAAAAATATAGTAAAAAAAACAAACTACCAGTGAACCTACCATTTGACCCAGTTATACCACTCCTTGGCATAAAGAACTCATCCTATTGCAGAGACACTTGTACATCCATGTTTGTTGCTGCTCTCTT